AAGAGAAATAGACTACAAGAAAAAAAAAAAAAAAAAACAAACAAACAAACCGAGGCCATGAATTCACAGGCAACAAATGAAATAAAGTCATTCAAGATCATAAAATTGAAATCTCCTGCCAATTAAAATCAATAAATTAAAGGACATTTCAAGATCATATACCTTGGGACATCTGGTCGGTTCACCATCTCAGTTGTGATACCATGAATGTGCGAGTTTGGAACAGATTGTTCAGGGTTCACCAGGGTTTGGAAATAACTGTTATTTCCCCCTGACAGATCTCTGATTGCAAATTCAATAATCCGACTTCTCTCTTTGCAAAATCCTGTGGTTTCGGTATCAATAGCAAATACTCTTACAAGATGCTTTTTATCCTGGCATTCTACAATCTTGTCTCTAGCATCATTATACTCAATGCTTCTAAAGGAGCTGGACACTGGACTAGCAATGCTTGCCTGTGGTTTTCCATGCTGAAGGTTACCCTTTTTAGTATTCTTAATGTCTGTAGCTCTTTTCCCAGTTCTGGTTGATATGGGTTGTAAAATCTGACTCAATTTAGTTGCCCTTAGAAGAGTCCTGCAACCATTTGATCCACATAATAACTCAGAACCACATCCAGAAGAATGCCTTAGTGTGTGGAAGTTGTGTGAGGCGATATATGCTGATCGAAAAAAACTTGGTGATGACTTGATTCTGCATCTAGAAAATTGCAAGATAGAAAGGCAAATAGCACCTGTCATCATTCGAGCTGCACAGAAACTGTAGAAAGATTATATTAGGAATAACTTTTTCACATACCTTCAGTGACAGTATAAAAACAAAATGATAACAGCTAGAATGCATAAAGATCATATAAATGCTAGTTAGCTCCAGTCATTTCACATTTCACTATAAAAGATGGAGAACTTGAATTTTCAAATTCTCCAAAAAAATAGGAAAAAACCAGATTATAGTCCGAAATGAAAATGAAAATGCAAATGCAAATGAAAATCTAATTCCATGAACATAAAAAGGAGAACTTGGATTATAATCTAATTCTCCAAAATGAAAATCACTCACCTCAAACTCATAAAAAGGAGAATCAGTCCCAGAAAATAATTAAGAAACTCTAAATAATAAATATTATACACTACACTAAATTCTATATATACAATAAACTCTATACAATAAAGCCAGGATAAAAAAATAAACACCTCATTAGTATCAAAGCATTCAAGCAGAAAATTTAACCATCAAAACAAGTTTCTGAACAACAACCAACAAAACCCACAAAATCCATTTGAGTTTATTCCTGAGAGAAATGTGCTTCCCAATTCGTCGAACCCATTATGAACCTATACCTATTAAACAAAACCCAGATCATGAAAGTCGATAATTTTAACTATGACCAAACAAAATACCCAAAACAGTGGAAAAGTTACTACCTTGTAGACATTCAGAAGCCGGGCTCTACATTTGAATTCAGGAAAGCTGGTTTTGAACACATGAATACTGGAACCAATGGAGTAAAACAAACTGTTGGTTGTGAAAAGCAAGAAGAAAGTCACCGGAGGTGTAATGAAAAAGTCAGGGAAGTAAATAAATTTGAGATGATCACGCATCCAAGCTCCAAGCCCCAAACACCGCGGCTCTGCTCTTTCCTTCTCCAGCGACCGTGGAGTCGAGGACAAGAGTCACGAGACGAACCTTTATTTCTCTGTTTTTTTGAACTCTATGTTTGGGCCACACCAAGAAGAGAAAGAGAAAGAGAAAATGGGTCAGACACAATCCTTTTCATTTTTGGGTTTAGCACAAGTATCTTAACCTTACTCGGCCTATACTTATGTTGGCAACGCTTAACATAAGCTAATAGCAGTGTAGAAAGTGATACTGTTATTACATCATATAATATTATAAATTTATAATATAATTTTTTATTATTTAATTAATTTTTTATTTTAAAATTTATTTATAATATTTTATATATTTACTCATTTAATATTATATTTTATTTTATTTAATGCTACGTAAGATTACAGTGGCATTGTAACAATTGTAAGCTATGGCATTGCCATAGGTGTATTTGTTTTGTTCACCATGCTTCTAGTGTTTCTTAACTTGAATTGGACCATTGGTCAAATTGGTTCAACTAGTGACTGACCAAAAATTTAGTTCGAGTACAGGTATGGAACTATTTATGTAATTGACTGATATAAAATTAGTGGGAATTGTGTCTTAGTGAACCAATTAATTCTTATTTTTAAGAAGAAAATGAAAGACATCGCTAAAACTTGAACACTAGTGCTTAAACCTCAAGTGATTTAACACTTGGATGGTAGGATCAGCTAATGGACATCTTAATGATTAAGCAACTTAAACCCCATGTTAAAAATTTTAAATTTAAATAAATAGTTAAAAAAATTTTGAAAAAATGAGAATTATCTCTAATTATATAATTTTTTATCTAATGCAAAAAAAAAAAAAACTTGAATAGTAATGCTTACGATGAGATGACTTGCATATGAACTATATTTTATTATAATTTAAATAATATTAGATTGTAAAAAATGACACCATAAAGACTAAGGGTGCGTTTGGGATTATGATTGAGAGTTTTTTCGTGTAGTCACACAGCACTTTTAGATATATGTGTATTTGGTAATTTCTTTTTTTTAGACTTTTTTTTTTTTTTTTGTTTTTTTAAGTTATAGAAAGTCTTAGTAGATTTACAGTAATTTTATGTATAAACCAAAAGTCTCATTTTGAAACTTTTTAACTGTAATTTTTATGAAGAACACTTAATATTTAATATAATTATAAAATTACCCATTAAAATTCAATTTCATGTAATTTAATTACATCATAATTTATAATACTTTAATAATTAAAAATTTTAAAAACCTAAATTATTAAAGAATAATAAATATTATATATTTTAATAATTATATATCTTATAACATTTTTAAAATTTTAATTAATAATTAATAAAATTTATCATATTTCATCTATAATATTTTAAAAAAATAAATAACCAAATACCAAAATAACTTTCAACTACAATTATAACATAGTACAACCACAATTAAATATAATCACAACACTTTAGAACAATCTCAAACACACCCTCAAACTCATGTCCCATTCAATGCTTAAGACTAAGTTTATCATGTGACCAAACGAGTATTGTTATGCCAATTACGCAAAAAAATTATATTTATTATGTATAAATTATAAAAAAATTATTTATCACATCATCCAATCATATTTGGTGGGCCATTTGGTTCAACTGGTCTAACCTTTTTCTAGTTTAAGAACATTGACGCTCACCCCTATCAGTTTCATTTTTTTGGATCAAATTAGAAAGCCAGTTAAACTTTAAGGGCTTAAATACAAATAGGCCATTCCCCTTTTACTTTTATTAAAAATTCTAAGACTATAACATCACATGATATTATAAATTTACAATGTAATATGATGTTATATAATTAATGTTTTTTATTTAGAATTCATTCATAATATTATATATATTTATGTATTTAATATCACATTATATTTATTTAATATTATATAAAATTATTTACATAATATTATAACTATAGTAGGGCAGGTCGTGCTTCTCAGTTGATTAGCTTACCTAGTTAACCTGCTTGATTGTTCTAGCGCCACCATTTCCCTCAAGTGTCACAACACTCTTAATGGCTAGAGGCAGAATCTCGTGGATGACCAGATACTAATAACTTGAAATTTGTTCCTTCTAGAGAACTACAAGCAATTTGAAAATCGATAAATGAAAAACGAAAGTTTTTATTGTCATGAGTTCATAAGGTAGGTAATTTAGCTATTTCCCCTCAAGAAGAAGTTCAGTTCATCATAAAAAAAAGGTGGCCTAATTGTTGGTGTCGGGGTTCGCCAAGAGGTAGGCTTCAACAGCCTTTAACATCCGTGGCCTTTTCCTTTCCAACCTCGATGTGCTCTTCCTTGATCTCATCGTCACCAATGGTATGGTAAGTGCTGCTGCTCTTGCAGACCGATCCTCCATCAGGGGAGGCCTCGAATTCAATCTTATTAGAGATTTTCTCAAAAATGTTCATCTAGGCATCTCCCTCAACCACAGTGTAGCTGTATGTAAATTTCTCTAGGTCAATCCCATCAATCCTGTGTTTCATAGATTTAAACTGGCTACCTGCACAGCATAGACCCCTTGTTATAAACAACATAGTTCATCACATTCAAAGCATAATTTATATGTCTAAGTCAATTGTGCGATGCAACGTTACCTTCACCAAAGTAAGCGGCAGTTCAACTCCCAATGAAAGCATTAAGTCAAGAATCATGTATCTTTCTTTCTCAAATTCATGTTTCGTAGGATTTTAACCCAAGAAGAAAAAACAGCAGGCAGAAATTCTAATGTTTCATTGTATATAAAAATGCCAAAACCATCACATTTTTCGTTTGAATGGAAGGAAACAAGAAAAATGCCATGGAAAGCAATTATCATCATCATTTCTTGCTAAAATCAGGGAACAACAATGCTTGGCTTTCAGACTTTGGTTTTACTC